AACCAAAACAATATTTTACAAATTCAAATTCTCTAGCAGTCAGGAAAATAAACTGTAAGTGTTAACGATGTTGTAATATTTTCCATATTCTTAGACTTTGAGTAAACCTTTAACACCTGCTATTGGAGTAGAGTACAGGAAAAGGGGTCATTCAGTTGCTAGTGAAATACAGCAGCATTATCTTCTTTTGGAAGGCAGTCTGGCAACATTGAACAGAAACAGAAATATATAATACATATATAATTCATTGCCTAGCAATTCTATTTGGAATGTATCCCATGAAAATAGAGCATCAGATTATAAAAATAAAACATGGGATGCAAAAAAAATAAAGACTTTATTGTAGCAAAATCTGGAAGCGAAGTGAATTTTCATGAATAGAGAAAAGATTGTATGAATTATGGTACACTCACAGCACATGAATAATTTTGGCCTATAAATAAATCAATGCCTGTTGATTCTAAAGCACTCAGACAATGTTTTAAGTGAGAACATTCAAGCAGTGAAAAGTCCTATATTTGTCTACTCTCACATGTATGCGTATTGTGTTTGTACTTAGAGTCTAGACAAATAAGGAAGGATTTATATGAGATTGTTAACAGGATTTACTTTAAAACTGATGGGCCTGTGTAGCGTGTCAGGGAGAGAATAAGTAAAAGGGGAACCAAGGAAAAGGTATATGGAAAAAACTATCAACCCTGTGAAAACAGGCATATAGAGGATCTTATATCATATTTGTACCAAGTTTTCCCCAAAGGGAATGAAAGTTACTGCATCAGAGGCAGATGGTGGGAGAAGAAGTTTTCAGCTCAGAGTGTAGATGCCAACAATGTCACCTGCTACTGTGTGGCTGAGTTGGTACACATTTGGCTATTGTTGTGATTGTTTGTGTAGGGCGAAAAGATGCACGTTAGTAAGCCAGGCATGCTCCTAGGTTGTATCTACCCACCATGAGGAACCAGGAGCGGGTCAAAGGCCAACCTCATGGGCACAGGGTCTGGGAAGGCAGGCCTGGGAGTGGAAGGGGAGGACATGAGTCCTAGAAACTGTGTGGTCCTTTGGGGACTTGACTTAGAATGACATGGCTCAACATTAAAAATGTTCAGCTGCTTTGTTTCTCCTCTCCTCGATCTCATTGTCTCCTCATCCCTAAGTCTTCAGACTTTTCCATTGATAAGATTCATTTTCTTTTTGTTTGGTTTTTGGACCACACCTGACTGTTCAGAGCTTATTCCTGACTCTGTGCTCAGGGATCATTCCTGGTGGGGCTCAGGAAGTCAGTCATATGCTGTGCTGGAATGGAACTGGATTGACTGCATGCAATCAGGTGACCAGCTGTACCGTCTCGCAGGCCCCATAGATAACGGCTTTCTACTCTCTTTCTTTTCGCTCTCATTTTCAAAGTGAGTCTCCTACCCACACCCCACACCCATTCCAAAATCATTCAGAACCTTCTACATTTTCTTATCAAAATGCTCCTTTTTTTTTTTTACCCCGAGTGGATTTCCTCCTTCTACTTCACTGGACTATATAAGTCCTGCCTAACCTGTACTCTTATCCTAGTCCCAGTTGTCAACTTAGTTTTACTAATGGAGGATAAACGAATAAATACAAACATTGAATAAGCATCCTTTTGTAATATCAATCTGTCTCACTGGACAGGAGTAAAGAAGAGATAAAAGCTTTATACATTTGGGAGGACATTTTAAAGCCTGTGTATGTGTGTGTGTGTGTGTGTGTGTGTGTCTGCCTGTCTGTCTGTCTGTGTCACTCTGTGTGTGTGCCTGTCTGTCTCTCTGTGTGTATGTATCTCTCTGTGTGTCTCTGTGTCTCTTTGACTCTGTCTGTCTCTGTCCCTGTGTCAGTCTGTCTGTCTCTCTGTGTGTCTCTCTGACTCTCTCTATCTCTGTGTCTCTCTGTCTCCCTGTCTTTCTCTCTGTGTGTCTGTCTGTCTGTGTCTCTGTGTCTCTCTCTGTCCCTGTGTGTCTGTCTCTCTGTGCGTCTTTCTGTTTCTCTTTGTCTCTCTATCTCTGTGTGTGCCTGTCTCTCTGTCTCTCTCTGTCTCTGTGTTTGTCTGTCACTCTCTCTTTCAGTTTTGAGGGGTGGTGGAAGGGAGATAACAAGGCTATCCTTATCTGCCACACAGGCAGGGGGCGGGTATACTGGGGTTCTTGGTGGTGGAAAATGTGCACTGGTGAAGGGGCGGGTGTTTGATCTTTTGTATGACCAACCCACACTTGAACTGAAAGGCTTTGTGACTGTTCTCACGGTGACACTACTTCCACTACCCAGCCGTCGCCACACTCCAGGACGCTTTCCGGACCCGCGCGGCAGCTCCGGCCGAGACCCACGCACAACTGAAGACCCACAGAACAAGATAAGCGGAACTCTCTGAGACCTTGGACTCCAGGCTCGGCGGACCCAGGGACAGAGCTTCTCTGCTTGCTCCCACCACCACAGGTGACAAAGGGATTCTAATCAGAAGCCCCACCCTACCCTGCCCTGTCTGCTTCCATCAACCACCCAGGGATCGAATTGTGCACAGGAGACCCACCCTACCCAGATAAATACCCCACTGGCAGACTTCCACTCTCGACACTACTTCCACTACCCAGCCGTCGCCACACTCCAGGACGCTTTCTGGACCCGCGCGGTAGCAAGCGGCCGCACGATACCTCATAAGACACTAAATACCCATCTTCTGGAATTGTCGTACCATATTTGATAGGATTCAAATATGGTAACACCTACAAGGGTGATTAGAGGTCACCCCAAAAGCCTCTATCCCTCTCGGAAAGACTGGCAAGCTACCAAGAGTATTCCGCCCGCACGGAAGAGCCTGGCAAGCTATCCGCTGTGTATTCGATATGCCACGGTGATTCAATAAATAAATAAATAAATAAAAAGAAGGCTATCCTTTGCAACCCCCCTAAATAAAAAGGGAGGTGTGTTCTCCTGGTGGTATATCACTGAAGCAGTCTCTTTAGGAGTTATGCGTGTGAGGAAACTCGGGTATTTAGAGGTGCGGTTCGCAAGGAAGCTGAAATCCTGGCGTGGACAAACCAGAATGAATGAGCAGATTTCCCCGCCCCCGCCAGGGTCAGACTTCAAAGCCCTAAAGCGCTCTGGGCGAATCCTGCCGCCGGGCAGGTGCGTAGAGTGAAGGCTGGGGGTGAAGGCAGCGCGCGCCCGGCCGGGAACCTGAGTGCCCCTCGGCTTCCCACGTGCGGGCGGGTCCTAGGGCTCTGAGTCCCCGCAGTGCAAGGGGTGGGGGGCAGGCCGAGGGGCAGCCTGACCTTGGAAAGACTCTTGGAAAGACTCGGTTCCCCCTGGAATCTCCCTAGCAGCAGTGTGGTTGAAACTGAACCTCAGTCTGTCTTCCCCGAAACATTTCACCCCAACTGCACCCACTGGCAGAACCTTCCCACCTGCTCTCGGGACACCCTCCCCCCCCCAACCCCGCGCGCCAGCCAGACGCTGGGACTTCAGGGAGTGAGAGGGTGTAGGCAGGCAAGGTGGATGTTTCTGCCATCCTGGCCCCAAACAAACCTGAGACAGGAGTCCCCCGATGCCACCCCGGACCCGCTCTGACCCGCAGGTCGAAGGGCCCCGAGACGGATGTGGTCAGGTCCGGGCTAGCGAACCCGCAGTGGGTGCTGGCAGAGAGCCCCGGGCTGGGCAGGTCCAGTCATTGCTCAGAGCGGCTGCGGGGCCCGCCGGGCTTCTCGGGGTCTGGCGCAGTCCCTGACTGCCGCCGTGGATGAGGACGCGGTTGCAGAGTGCATGAGGCGTTTCCTAAAGGGGTGTGCCAAGGCGCTAAGGAGGCTGGGGAGGGGTCCCGAAATCTCCCCAGTGCTCCCCCAGCTCCGAGGGGATTCGGTATTATTGGGGGAGTAGATCCTTAAACGTGACCCCAAGAAAGTTGATGCTCAGGATACCGGGAACCGCAGCTGCTTCTCCGCCGCAGCTCTGGAGAGCACTCAGGCTGGAGCAGGGCCGGGGCGCAGCGCTGGCTCGTCGCCGCCACGCTGCCGAGTCCCCGCGGCCTCGGGGATGCGCCTCTGCAGAACTGTCGCAGCTCTCGGGGCCGCTCTCGGCCGAAAGTTGGGGTGCAGCCCTCTGGCTCTTCGGCCGCTCCTTGCTTGGGCCGGGGTGCCTCCGTGGTCCCATCTGCAGACCCCATCTGGGCGGTTACTCCAAGGACGCCCAGCGCCCCCTCGCGGAATGCCAGGGGGCGCCCGGCTGGCAGACTCGACCCGCAGGTAGCGGGGAAAGGCGTGGTGGCTGCGCGGGTGGCGGAGAGACACTTTCCCACAGCTGGTGCAGCTGCCGAGCCGCGCACGGGGACTGGCGAGAGCGCGGCGCGGGTACTGCCCCTTCCCGGTGACGTCGCGGCCGCCGCTGATAAAAGCTTCCAGCCCAGCCGGCCGAGCTTCTGCCAACTCCCGAGCCCGGCGGGACCCGAGCCCAGGGGCGCCCGCCGAGCTGCAGGCGGCGGCGGCGGCGGCGGCAGGGGCAGAGCAGGGGCGGCGACGGCGAGGGCTCGGCAGAGCTCCCCAACGGGACGCGGGAGCCCGAATCCCGGCCCGAGACTCTGAACTTTCACAGGTGGCGTGGGCGCGAACCCCCCCGGGCGGCGTTTGCCGTTCCCAGCTGCAGGCTGGAAAGAGTTGCACGCTGCAGCAGGTGCCGAGCGCCCCGGGGTCTCCGTTCCCGAAAGCGTCACCCGTGGAATTTTCCTCCTTCCCCGGCCTCGACGCAGAAGACTCGCTGGCTCCGGGTTTCTGAAGTCAGATGCTCCTTAGAAGCTTGGCAGTGGAGGAATTCAGAGGCACGAGGGGGGCACGACAGGGCGTCTGGACGTGTCTGTCCTGAGCGCCGGTTTGAGAGGGAGGACTGGGGTGCAGAAAGAGCCGGCTGCGCTTCGCTCTCCGTTAAGCAGGAAAGCCCCACGCCCCCCCTCACCCCACGCCCCAGGCCCCTGCCTCAGGACCTTGCCGCAAAGGGGGTGCACGAACGCAGAGAAACGCTTCCCCGCCCGGCAGAGAAATGGATGACGTGCTCCCCGTGGACTCGGACCTTTTTCCGAACGTGTCCACCAACACCTCGGAGTCCAACCAGTTTGTCCAGCCAGCCTGGCAAATTGTCCTCTGGGCGGCTGCCTATACGGTCATCGTGGTGACCTCCGTGGTGGGCAACGTGGTGGTGATGTGGATCATCTTGGCCCACAAGAGAATGAGGACAGTGACCAACTATTTCCTGGTCAACCTGGCCTTCGCAGAGGCCTCCATGGCAGCGTTCAACACGGTGGTGAACTTCACCTACGCCGTCCACAACGAGTGGTACTACGGCCTGTTCTACTGCAAGTTCCACAACTTCTTCCCCATCGCCGCTGTCTTCGCGAGCATCTACTCCATGACAGCCGTGGCCTTTGATAGGTAAGCTCACCTGATGCCCAGGGGGCCGTCTCTGGAGGGGCTATAATCGCATTGTCCTTGGGGAATGGCCTGGCAGAGCAGAGTTCATGGTGAAGGCTGATCCTCTTGCCTTGTGGGTTTTACTAACTGTTGGCTGGGGCACTAGACCAACTTTATCCAATCTCACCATTGTCTGTCCCCCACCTCTTTCCTTTGTCCTCCTTTCCATTCATCATCATTTCCCTGGCCTTTTCTTTCTTTGATTCTCTTTTTGTCAATTCTTGCTCTATTCATCCCCCTGTTACTTCCCCTGCAACTCTGGCTTTGCCACATTCTATATCTACCCTTTCTTCAACAGCGTGAAAAAGATACCCAGGACTTGGCTATGAGGATACCCCTTGGCTGGGCTTTGTTAATCCCTGCAGGTATGCTGTTCTTTGGGCATTGCCTCCTGATGCCTTCTGATCTGAATCTGTCTAGACACATTTTCTCATTTTCCACTTTTTTCTGACAACGACTCTAGGACTTTTTGCTTCCACTTCAATCCTCCAATATAATTTAGGCAGAAAGAGCATTTCATTAGAGTTGTAAAATATTTGGGATATGATGTGAGTTCCCTCTATGCTGCTAGAAATCCTCACTCAGGAATGAGAGAGCTACGATGCTCATCAAGAACTCTCCAGACAGGAATCCAGGGAGCTCACCCAGGGGTTTTTCAAATTTCTCTGTAGTATAAGATTGATGTGTTTTAACCCACACAGACCCACATAGACACGTGCATGGCAAAAAGCAGTTTAGAGCTCTTCCTTCCCTGCAATCAACAGGTTAGGATTTGAGAAGCTGATTGAGAGTGAAGGCTGGCATTTTCCAGTATGGGAGCTAGTGTGCTTGGAATGCATGGCTCGTGTGGCACCATGGAAAAGTGATTATTAGAGCATAGTTTTGTTTGTATTTACTATTGTGCAGGTGTCTTAAGTCTCAGAGATACATATCTACAAGTATTAAATATTTATTTGCATCTGAAACTGTGCCAGAGACATCTGTCCTCGTGATTGCAAAAATTATTCTTTTGATGGCCTTATAAAGAGATACAAAAATGAGAAATCCAAAGAAGAGACCAGGGAATGAATTTTTTAAGAGCTGAAATTGCTAGCCTTTTTGCTCAGAAACTCTTTATAATTTGCAATTGAGTTGAGGTTTTTGTCAGTTCACAGGGTCCAAGAGTACTGTTTAATCTGAGGGTGCCATTTTTCATCCTTTGCGGTGATACCTCAATGTTGATTTCCAAGTTCTGTGCCTTTATTCACTTCTCTGAAATTATGATGTGCTCAGTACATTGTGTGTAAAACAAACTACAGGCAGTCTGTGACGTTTAAAGTGTAGAAGCTAAACCAATACTCAAAGTGGAAATGAAACAAATTCTCATTTAAACTCATCTGTTATGCTACTATGGGTATCAGGTGTTTCATTTGCTGAATGTGGTGTGTACCTGTAACTCTTTCTGTGCTGACTTGCTATTTTATTCTCCCACAGCGACCCCCATACCCCTACTCTTAGATAATCCTTGGCAGGGCGTCGAACAGAACAGAAGCTCAATGACCTGGTGCCTGGTAGTCTTCCTCAAGCTGTCTTGATGATCTCAAAATTAGAGGGAAAGTGGGTGTTTTTACTGCACCGGGACCCAGTGAGCTTCGGGGAAACATGCCCATCAGTGTGAGCCCTCACAGACAGTTTGTTTGTTTGGCTACCACAGAAACACCTTCCACAGTCCTGTGTCTTTCTTTTGAAGTCAAGGGTTAGGGGCAGGAGATGGGGCAAAACCTTCACTGGGGATTGGGAAGGAGCCAATTTGGGCTGGCTTGACTCTGGTGCCCTAGGCTCCACAGTTGTTTCTCCCTTGGCAAACCAGAGACAGGATGTGGCCTTTTGGACACCAGCTCAGTGAGATCAGAGGGTCTTCGGTGCCAGGGCCCAGTGAGTGACAGCAGTGGGAAATGTCCCCCAGGGTTCCGAGGTGTGGCTTTCCAGAGAGCTTCACAATGGCAGATTCAATGTTAGTGTTCAGGGGAGAGTTAGGAACGAGGCTTTTACACTATCTCTAAGGGTTCCTTTGATTTTCCTTGCTCAGCCTCAGGAACGAACCCATGGTGAGTGAATCCCTCAGGTTCTCAAGTGATTGCAGTTTCCCTGTTTGCTTGCTCATCCATTCTCTCCTAAGAATGTTCCAGAAAGGAAGGGGGCTGCAAGTTCTCTTGTAGAATATGCATTCTCTTCCCCCTCTTTCCATCCTTCACCGTGGCAATATAGATTTGAAGGAAATGTTTCATTATATTTTTGTATGCTTCTTGAATTTCCAACAGGTAATTTTGGATCAATCTTAAAATAATAAAAGGAACACAATTTTCCTCATCAAATTAAACCTTGTTCATTGTAGAAAGCCTAGGAAATAAAATGAGTATAGACACAAAAATACAAATAAGTCATAATGATTTTAACTCCTGTTAATATTGTAGTTTTTTTTTTTTTTTGGTGACTGTTACAATCCATAACTGTACTGCTAGTGGAAAACAGTATTTTGCTATAGTTAATAAAAGCATTTTTTTGTGTTAGCAAGAAATCTACTGGGCTGGAACAAATGCTTTGATGTGGAACCCCAGGTTTGATCCTGTGCATTACATGGTCCCCCAAGTACCTCCTGAGAGACCCCCCTAGCTCAAAGCCAACAATAATCCCTGAGCACTGCCAGGTGTGGTCCCAAAACAAATACTAATAATTTAAAAAAATTAAATTAAAAAACCTTCACTAGCATAATCTGGCTTCCTATGTGCTGTATATAAATACGCTATTTTACTATAACCATTCCCCAATATTAAGGTTGTATAGGTGATTTCTAGATAGATTTTGTGTTTTTTTAATTAATGTGCTAATAAATACTTCCTACTGATAGTTTTGCTGAGTTTTATTCATCATTTCCTTAGGATTGGTTGACTTGGAATTACTGGATAAAATGAAACAAAAATTTGAAAACCATTTCCTCCTAATTTTCAGGAATTAGGAGTGGGCAGGACAAGGAACACAACAAATCTGCTTGTTTGCTTGATCTCTTCAGCTCAAGGCAGCACATTTGACACTTATGATTACTGCATGCTCGTTGAATAAGTGAATAAATGAATACACATTACTTAATACATATTTCTTGGAAATATGAGCACTTGGAAAACACACAAAGTTGTAAATAAATTAGATTTTATTATCTAAAATTCCACCAATGACAGGTAACCAGTTACAATTCTGAAATTCTAACATACACTCACTTTTCTGTCTATCAATTTTGGATCTTAATTTAAAGATATTTCAATGACTTTTTTAGGGGGGTAGATTTTTAGCATCATTTTGTGGGCATTTTCATGTCTTGAAATAATGTTTATAAATACTACATTGCATAACTATAATTATTTATAATACTATATTTATAATACTATATTGCACAACTATAATTATTTAACCATTCCCCTATTTTAGACATACTTTATTCCTATTTTCAATGGTTACAAGTAATTTTGAAATGAATAGTCTGCACATAAGTGTTTGAGCAGATTCATCTTCTCTCCCTATAATGAACTCTTTGAAGTAGAATTACTGGAAAAAATCTGTCTTGGCTAACTTTGCTAAATTTTATTCTAAAGCCATAATATGTACATCAGAATAAACTTCTGTGGTACTAATTAATTATTTTTGGGTAATCTTTTCATGGACTTGTGAATGAGAGAGAGAGAAATTGAGAAGAAAAGGATTCAAAGGAAAGGAGAGTGGAAGGAACAAAGGAACAGAGGAACAGCAATCTTACGGGGGAGGCAGGGGGAGTGACAGTACCGTGAGTAAGGCAGTTGCCTTGCACACAGCTGACCCAGGTTTGATCCCCAATACCCATATGGTCCATTAAATCTTCCAGGAGTGATCCCTGAGAACAAAGCCAGGAAGAAGCCCTGAGTACAGCCAGGAATGTCACCCCCCAAAAAAAAATAAAAAAGAAAAAGAAAAGAAGAGGGGGGAAGAAAGAGGGAGGAGGGAAGAAAGAGGGAGGGAGGGAAGAAGGAAAGAGAGACTGGAGACAGAGAGACAGCAGACAGACACACACACACAGAAAGAGAGAGAGAGACAGAAAGAGACAGAGACAGACAGACAGACACAGAAAGAGACAGAGAGACTAAGAGAAGAGACAGAAAGTGACAGACACACACACAGAAAGAGAGAGACAGAGAGAGAGAAGAGACAGAGACAGAGAGACAGACAGAAAGAGAGAGACAGAGATACAGAGAGACAGACAGAAAGAGAGAGACAGAGATACAGAGAGACAGACAGACGCATACACAGTGAGAGAAGAGACAGACAGACAGACACACACACACACACACACACACACAGATATCTCATTCAGAAAGACTACTTGTTGAAAGCAATGGTGACCTAGAATAAGAAAAGTTGCAAAGATCAGATCTCTCTCTTATTCAATTCCAAAAAATTTCGGAAGTTTCAATTTTTAGAACTCCTTAGTTTCTTCCTTTTGAAATCACTGTCATTGTCACTGTCCTCCTGTTGTTCATTAATTTGCTCAAGCGGGTCCAGTAACATTGTGAGACTTGTTACTGTGTTTGGCATATCCAATACGTCAGAGGTAGCTTGCCAGGCTTTGCCATGGGGGTGAGACACTCTCGGTAGCTTGCCGGGCTCTCTGAGAGAGGCAGAGGAATCGAACTCAGGTTGGCCATGTTGGCTGCATGGAAGGCAAATGCCCTACCCACTGTGTTTAAATACCTTCCATGCAGGAGGCCTGGGGTTCAGCCCCAGCATTGCAAAGTCATTCACCTGGGAGTGGACCCTGAGGTAGCAGCTGAGAATCTGCTTCTGATTTGCAAGTGCTCCTACTGATGTAATTCCTCTTATATGTGCCAGCATTTCTGCCACTTCCCTCATTTCCCAGTTAATGGTCCCCATTCTTTCATCTTTCCATCCTTATGGTC